TAGTATAGTTTTGGTGATTATAAAGCCAAGAAAAAAGGGTTTTCGAATCGAATTCTCGGTTAAATCATACAGCACAAACTTTTCCATTTCCAACTTTTCACAAAGAGAAGAATAATTGCAACTTTTTAAATATAGGAATCGTATTCTTGAGTGACAAGAAACAATATTCTTTGGTGAAAAAAGACATAAACCCTAAGAAAACAGAGAGTACAAATGTATCTTGAAAAACAAGAAATAACATTCTCAGAATATGAAAGACACAACACACAAGATTCAGACACAATGTATCTTCCTAATCTTAAAGCCGAACGCAACGATTTCATCGGGGTCAAAGCGAGACTTAACCACACTTTCTCTCTGAAAACACCTCCTAGCCGAAGCCATCAGTGTCGGAACTTCTGGTTCGATACTGAAGTTACCTAACTTCTCAGATGCTTCGAACCAGATGTAATAACCAGTCATGGCAATGTCTACGAATCCGAAGTTATCACCACCAAAGTAAGGTTTGTCTCCAAGTTCAGCTTCAAGAATCTTGAGTGCTTCAATATAATCTTTCTTGGCTATTTCTTGTTCCTCGCCTTTCGTTGACCAAATCTTATTCGCTGGCTCGTACAACTGAAATCAAAACAAGCTTAAAGATTTGTCTGCAAAACTCAAATCAATTTCAAGTTCTTGAATTTCCAATGATCAGAATCATCTAGAGACTGAATAAAACAAAAGGGATATTGGATAAGTACCTTCGTATCGATGAAATCGATCCAGAATCTTGCTTGAGCTCTCTGGTAAGGATCAGAAGGGAGAATGGGGTTGTTGTCGGACCAGACCTCGTCGATGTACTGAACTACGTTCATGGATTCGCAAACCGGTTTACCGTTATGGATAAGAACCGGAATTGTCTTGTGAACCGGATTCATTTCTAGGAGCAAAGGGCTCTTGTTCCTTAGATTCTCTTCTCTGTACTCAAACTCAACTCCTTTCTCTCTTAGCGCGATCCTCGCTCGAATACCGAATGGACTCGGCCAGAAATCTAAAAGAATCACTTTATCCGCCATTGTTGTTGTAAGTCTTGTAAAATCAAGATTGTTAAAAAAACTGTGATTCAAACTTCAACGCAAGTGTTTTGTGATTATTTTATATAGTTTTATAGTCTTCTTCAATTTGTTTTCAAGCTTCTCTTTTTGTATACTAAATTACATGTCGACTTAGTCAAACGTGTTATTGAATACAAGAAGAAATTGAAATTTTAAATTGGGTTTTAGATAATGCTTAGGCCACTGCTTACGTCACTATACTTATGACTGAAGATTCTCAAGATCACAAAGTTTATTAAGTTTGTTTTTTATAGAATAAAGATCACAAAGTTCCTCTCAAAGAAGTCAAACTTTAAGATTTAAGAACAAATATCCAATTCAACTGAAACAAAGCATCTGATTTTTAGAACAAGAAAACACAACACACAAAGAGCTAAAACAGAGCAGAAAATGCGACTAGAGAAGTTATTCTCTTACTCAATCCCATATAACTTCTTAAGCTGCAAAACGAATCCAACAACTTTCTCAGAGTCAGGCAAGGACTTAGCCACACTCTCTCTCTCCATACACCTTTTTCCCCAAGCCATTAGTTTCGAACACTCTGGTTCGATGCTGAAGTTACCATACTTCTGGTATGCTGGTAACCAACTGTAGTAGCCAACCAAGGCAATGTCTAAAAACCCGAATTTATCGCCGCCAAAGTAAGGTTTATCTCCAAGCTCGGATTGAAGAGTCTTGAGTATTTCAATAAATTCCTTCTTGGCTTCTTCTAGTTCCTCACCTTTTGTTGCCCAAGTTTTTCTCCCACAAACATACAACTGATCCATTTGTCACAAGTAAACATACTCACAAATGAGTTACAAGCAAACCCCTAGAATTTGACATGGATTGTATGAAATATTCATTTGCAAAGTCAATATCTTTTCTTTAACTCCTTTAATACTGTTAGGAA